ATTAGTGTGAAACATAAGATTGCCTTTTGTGTAACGTTTTATATTGGACAATGTTGCTGTTTTATTGCGATGTTACCAGCAGATGGCAGCCTTGGGCAGGCAACCATTTCCAACCAATCCATGACTGTTCTCTCCATTCAGAGAAATTAGCTATGCATGGTAAGAATAACGTGTAATTATATTGCATGGGCAATGAAATGCGATAGTAATAATTGTTATGTTAGTCTTGGTAAACTGTAGTAATCAAATTCAACACTGACATTTCAATTCATAGTTTCTATTGGGGACAGAGTAGCATGGCCTCCTTATCCTGTAATCTATTTCAGTATCAATGAGAACCTTTCATCACAATACATGGATACAGTATATATTTGTCTAAGAAATAAATATTGTTGTCACCTTTATTAGGGAAACACGTTACACACACAAGTAATGAGTCGAAACAGGAGTTAAAACTTTTCTCTGTAGCCAACATACTGATAATAGAACCACGCCTTCTGACCACATGAGACATCTATGTTTGTTTTTTTGTTTTTTAACATGGAAGCTTTATGTTAACCTGTCATTGCTGATTCCCTTTTGAAAGTGTTAGCTGTCTGACACCCTGGCTTCAATACTGTCTGCGGCATTAATTGAGTAAAGTAGGAAGATATAGAAAATTGGAAAAAAGTCAGGCATGCTTGTATCTATCCTTTCCTTGGTTAGTGACTCGAGTACTACTGAAAAAGGGTCAAGATGTCAGCCAGGCAGCTAACATTTTCAGAAGAACGGTCAGTGATTACACTATTCATGTTTTCTCATGACATGTTTCCTTTAATAAAAGGTGGCAGCCATGACAGGGGGGGGGGGGGTTTTTTCTTTACCACGCTTCAGCTGTTCTGACCGGCATAGTTGACTGGTTCCACAAGGGTGGAGAGAAACAGCGGGTTGGACTGGAAGAGACCCTCACAGAGGGTGATTTAATGGCACTACCTTGGATATCCCCTAGATCCAGACCGCTGCATTCCTCCCTACCCCTACTGACAGTCCATGTCCTGAAACTGTGGGACGGCTGTGTCTCTAAACACGCCTTGTCAGCCTATGTTGGCCCGATGACGACTCTATTCGGGAACCCGACTTTTCCCCCTGCCCTGACTGGAACTGTGATACTCGGACAACCACAGGGAATGCACCACCTTTGACATAATTCCGTCTCCCATCTTTCCGGTTATACTGGGTCTTCCCTGGTTAAGACTCCACCAACCAACCATCTCCTGGGCTGTAAACAAGTTACGATTGGACTCTAGTTATTGTAAAGAAACCTGTTATCCAATATCGTCTATAATGCACATCAACCCAGACGGACTACCCCATCACTACCGTGAATTCGAGGATGTTTTCAGCACACAGATGGCAGACACACTTCCTCCCCACCGACCATACGACTGCCCTATCGATCTACTCCCTGGCAGCTGTATTCCTGTGGGGCGTATATACCCCCTTTCCCAGCCAGAACTGAACCATCTCAAATCATATCTAGAAGAAAATCTCAAAAAAGGGTTCATCCGATCCTCGACCTCTCCCGCTGGAGCTGGATTATTCTTTGTCCGCAACAAGGACAACACCATCCGAACCATCATCGACTATAGAGCACTTAATGCAATAACCGTGAAAAACCGCTACCCCCTACCACTCATCCCAGAACTCATCGAACGGTTGCAGACAGCTAAGATCTTCACCAAATTAGACCTGAAGGGGGCGTACAACTTGGTCCGCATGAGGGCCGGGGATGAGTGGAAGACTGCCTTCAGGACCCGATATGGGCTGTTTGAATACCGGGTCATGCCTTTTGGGTTAAGCAACGCCCCCGCTACGTTTCAGTGTTTCGTAAATGACATCTTCAGGGATCTACTAGACATCTGTGTAGTCGTGTATCTCGACGATCTCCCTGGCCCCCTAACCCTGTTATGAGCAAACAAAGCTGGTTATCCTCATAATGGGCGCCACAGCCCGAGACACGTATAACACACACCTGTGGGGTCCCTCTCTTGCCCTGTCCTCGTACCCCAGGACGGTTAGCATTGAGCATTGGGTGGGGAAGATGCAGGCGACCCGAAACCTGTGCCGACATGCACGATTTTCACTAAACATTGTGTTCTGTAATGTTGATATTTTGACACGACTTATACTCTGCTAACTGTCCTGTTGACGTTATCCTCAGGCCTACTGGCCTACAGGCTCTTACTTTTCCTTTGTTATCGTCTGTATTATGTTTTGTGCTTCTTTTTGTCAAGGTGAACTTGCACGTTTACCTTTTCGTAATGTATTTGAAAACATAATAAACTCAGATTGAACTAAAAGGTGGCATCAATCTGATTTTATGGTAAGACAGGAGGCCCAATTTCTTTGCTGCTCCTCATGGCAGGTAGGTGACTCGTACTGTATGTCACACATTCCTTTGCCTTTTTTTTTTCCCATTGCAGAGTGATTATGTACTTGTTTCTTGTATTCTTTACTTGCGGTCCCCCCTCCCCCTTCTTATCTCACTATAGCGCTTTGATCAGCAATGCAGATTCTGCACCCAGTACCTTGCTGACATGAGCACTTTGCTCTACACCTTGTCTCTGGTCGTACCTGTCCTACCTTGTCCTAGCATCCCCCCACCCGCCACCCACTCAGCCTGCAGCCTGTTCTCACTTCCAGGTCTCAGCCTCAGGGCCGCTGCTTTGGGTCCGGGCCTTAACACTATTTTGTTGTAGCCGTGAATTTCTTTCGGATCTCCGTTGACTCTGCCACCATTTTCCCTCCTCGTAAGCCGTGGCTGCCATTTTGTTGGAGCAGTGGTCTCTTCTAGCCACTTCCCCTTCTCTGCTTCCGCCGGGACTTCTAAGGAATCTCCTTCCGACCACGCTCCCTTCTACCTCCTCAAATCTGGGTGAGCCCCAGCATTCCTATATTGTGCCTGGGCCTTCTGTTGGGTGGGTGAGCCCCACCATATTGCCCTTGTGCTTTGTTGCCATGGTGCCTGTTGCCTTCTGTTTGCTGGGTGAGCCCCAGGTTTTTGCTACAGTGCCTGTGTCCGCTGTTGTGGATGAGCCCCTCTGCTGTTTTTGTCCTGCCTTCCACCTGTATTGCACATAATCATACAGTTACACTTCCACCTCTATCATGGCGGACCCCGCTGGTACTCCCACCATCCCCACGGCCTAAATGCAGGCCTGGATTCAGGTGGCCATTAGAGATGCGCTGGCTACTGCCTTGCCTTCCACAACTTCCGAACCCCCTCAGGTCTGTACTGCCCATTCCTCTGATGCGGAGTCTGATGACTCGTTTTTTCCCCAAATATCTGGGGGCTCTCGCGAGCAAACGTCCCTTGAAGGGGTCCAGTAAACCAGCGCACGAAGGCAAGTGCCTTGCCAAACGAGCTAAGCGCATCTCAGTCCCTGCTTCGGTGGGACAATTTTCTTTCGCATTCCCCTCGGTGGAGGCACATCTTAACTCCTCTCAGGAGGATAAGGAAACCCAACCACCCTTGGGTAGTGACGTGGGTGAGCCCCGAAGCATCAAGCTTGCTGTTACCCAGCAATACACGGATCCGGCTGATGCCGATTTGGTGCTTGACCCTACTGGGGAAGCACTTTTAACCCCAGATGTATCCGTCACCCTAGATCATAGGAGTGGACTCCTCCGGACCACATTGCCAGATACCTGCAGGTCTGGCTACGTAAGGCCTTAGATGTGGAGGTCTGCAACCGCCTTCAGGCAGAATGCCCTTGACCCACTATCCCGGGCAAGGTTTCATGGTCACCTACATGAATTGGTCACCTACATTAATAAGAAGGGTCGTGATCCCAGGAAGGGTATAGAGAAGGGCTTAAAGGCTGCGCAGGATAAACTGCTTGATGTCTCTGGGCCCATGACACCGGTCTTTGTTCTAGCGGATGAGGCTTTGGCACAAGGCACTCCCCTGGATCCTCGTTTAATTCTGTGTTGGATCCAGTCCTCTATTTGCCTGTTGGGCAATGCAAACACTGCTATCTCCACTGAACGCCACCGGACTGCACTGCGGCGCATTGATGCCCGCCTGTCTGATATGGTGGAAAAAGAGTTGGGCGCTACAGACGATGGCAAATTCTTTGGGTAGCTCTTCATAAGGTGGAAAATTCCCTCAGAAGAGTTTTTCAGCATCCTGGTGTTTTTCACAGGGCTATTTAGCAAAGGGGCCGTGCCACCAGCCGTGGCTCCTTCCCAGGCTCCTGAGGCCTCCAGAGACCTCTTCCATTGACCTCTTACTTTTTGACCCAGAGGGCACCTTTTCCTTCAGCCAGAGGATTATTTTGTGCCGGGGCTACTCTACCCATCGTCTGCCAGTAAGTCCTCTTTGCTTACTTTCTTCCCTGCAGATCTTTCTGTAGCTGGCCGGCTCGCCCCTTTTTCCCAATGCTGGTGCCTCTTCTATCTTCTGGTCCCTGTACGCCCAGCTTCCACGTGTTTCTCTGTTTTTCGCTGGCAGTCCCGTCTCTGGCAGTTCACCTGCCTTCCCTTTGGTCTGAGCTCCGCCTCCTGGTGCTTTCGCCAAGCTCCTGAATCCAGTGATTGCATTTTTCTGCTCCCAGGGCTTAAGATCTATCGTCTATCTGGATGATATTCTTTGCTATGCCAATTCAGACAGACTGCACACTCAAACATCTTGGGTGATCTGTTGGTTGCAGGATTTGGGTTTCATCAACTTTTCAGAAGTCCTCCATCGTTCCATACCAAAAAGTGCAGTTTCTCGGTTTTGAGATCGATTTGATCAACTCCTTGCTTCGGCTTTCTGCTGCCAAATTGCCGGCACCGGCAGGCACTTCATCAGCTTCATATCTGCTGCTTCCTCCATTCAGGCCATTTTTTTCAGGGCCTCTTTATTACCGAGCCATACAGTGCTTGAAGACAAGGGATCTTTGGATCAATCCGTCTCAGGATCAATTGGTCCCTGGGCAGACGACGTTCTTGTCCAACTCACATGGGGGCTTCGACACATGGATGCTTGGAATGGGACGGTGATCTTCGGTACTCAGCCAGATTTTGTTCAGGAATCTGATGCCAGCCTGTGGGGCTGGGGCGCGACTGGTGCGGATTTGGCGACGGGAGGACGCTGGACACCAGTAGATCGTTCTTACACAACTGCTTGGCGCTTCTGGCTGGCTCTTGGCTGTCCGAATTCTTTTTGTTTTTCCAAGGCTCTTTCGACCTGTTCTACCTTAATGGGTAAGGACAACGTGTCTGCAGTACAATACATCAATCGTTAAAGGGTGCTCGATCGAAGCATCTGTCCACCCTACTGTAGGACCACTGGCACGTGTTTAGACAGGCACATCTGCCACATGCCTACCGGGGGTGGACAATTTCACGGCGGATTGGTTCTTCCGGTTTTGGAGGGCTACCAGCGACTGGATGCTGAACAGGGAAAATTATTGCTCTTCTCCTGGCTGGACCTGTGCCTTCTGTTGGATTAATCAACTGCCGCAGTTCTTCAGTTGGCTTCCCGATCTGTTCTCACGGGCATTGGATGCCTTTACTCAGAGGTGGCCACCTTCCCTTCCTTTTCAATGATTTCATGTTTGATTCACCAGGTTCGCCTTCAGCAGGTGAGCATCCTTCTTGTCACTCCGATCTGGCAGGCTCAGCCTTGGTTCCCTGCTCTGCTGGAGTTGTCATGCGTGTACCCTCTCCTCCTTCCCTGGAGCTCCCTTCTCTTACAGGACTTGGAAGGGAAACCCCACCCACTGGTGCTTCAGGAACGTCTTCCTCTTGTGGTTTGAGAGATTCCTGGAATCTGTTGGGCTTATCACCTACAGCTCCCTCCTTGCTCCGAGAGTCTTGGGTTCTGGGTACCTGATGTGTCTATCATTACACCTGGAACAGATGGGATGATTGGTGTCTGGCTAGGCAAATCGATCCCTTTATGACTCCATATGTGATCAGTATTTGTCAGCACTTTTTGCGGAGGGCAAATCCTACCGTACGGTCAATATCTTTTGCTCCGCTGTCTCTGCGGGCTATGTACTTGCCAATTGGCAGGGATGCCTTACTCTGTTGACTCCTTCGAGGCATCCGCCTTTCTCGGCCTCCTGCTCCTCATTATTCCCATCTTTGGGATGTCTCCGTGGTCTTGGACTTCTTGCGTGCCTGGTTGGACAATGACTCCTCGTTTTTGAAACAATTGTCGGCAAACTTGACAACTTTGCTTTGTCTGGTCCCTGGTCCCAAAACACCAGTGTCTGTATCCCAGATAGCAAGGATAACTTGCCACAAACTTGTGTCGGGGTTAAATTGTAATTTTGTTAACTTGCTGCACATATTCCTGGCAAGTTGTAGACTTGCAGAACACTTGCAGCACAGGTTCTAGTTGACACTTTTTAAATTTGTAGCAAATTTGCTTGGCAAGTCTACAGCAAGAGTCCTGCAGATCTTAGCAAGAGCTCTGCAAGCTCGCTGATCTGGAGACTTGCAATGCAGACTTGCTGTAATTGTGCAACAAAATTGTGAAGCTTGGCAAGTCTGCAAGAGTTTAGCAAGTCATTTTCAAACTTGCAGCACAATTTCTTGCTATCTGGGATATTCTGGATTCTTATCCTAGCGTTGCACACATGTCTATTGCTTCATTCCAAGAGAGGCCATCGCTGTATGTCCGAACATATCCCGCCGGACAGTATGGCCTCTCTTGGAATGAAGCAATAGACATGTGTGCAACGCTAGGATAAGAATCCAGAATATACAGACACTGGTGTTTTGGTTGATTCATTCCACTGTCTGGACGAAGTTTGAAACCCAAAAATCCTTTCAAATATCTGACATTGTTCTGTAGGGGCATCCGCTGGCTCCTCCTGGGACTGAACACCTCTAGACCTGAGGAAGCGTGGTGACACGCGAAACGCGTTGTCGTTATACTCCACCAGTTTTACTTCTCCTGAATCAAAAGCTTTGAAACTACATTTCTCCTAAGATCATGTACAGATCGGCAGCACAAATCATATGTGCAGGAAAATCGATCTGCCCTGGAACAGCTGAAATTAAATGTCACTTCTATCCGACTTTGTGAGTGGGGTGGAATGTGAGATCGCACTCACAGTGTCGCATAGAAGTGACATTTCAGGACCGAACAGCTGTTCCAGGGCAGATCGGTTCTCCTGCAGATACGATTTGCGATGCCGATATGCCCTGGAATAGCTGAAAAAGCGTTGGAATGCTTGACCTATTGGCGGTCACACATTCCACCGCCAAAAAACTGGGCGGGATTACATTAAAATGGGTGACCACGTCACCGGTCACAGATTGTAATGCAGTCACAAACTTTGACAGAACACCGCCATCAGGGGGGTACGGCCGGTACCCATGTGAGGGGTCTGGGCAGCCTGGGGGGCCTCTTAGATGAGTATCAGCTGTACCAGGGGTGGCATGGAAGAGGTGACAGGGGAGGGGGTGAAGGAGGCCAGGCCCCAGCAGTAGCAGGTAAGAGGAGTTGGGGGGAGGTACAAGGAAAGGGACCCCAGCGACCAGACCACCTGAGGCCCTGCAGAGCCCTCCATAGAGAGTGTCAGATGGGCTGTGCAGGATCTATGGTGTGCTCTGCAGGGTCACTCTTGGGTGGGCCCAGGGTCCAGTGGTCCAGTGGGTTACTAAGCCCACATATACTTATATACATGCTATACATAGCATAACGGTAAAAAACGATATATGCAGTGTTATCTTCATTTTAGATGTCAAAAGGGTTTTGTGGCTCCTGGTGTTTTCTTTTCTGTGGGAAATGGGTCCAAATGGCTCTTTGAGTGTTTAAGGTTGCTGACCCCTGGACTAGGCTATGTACTATCAACTATTGAATTTTCTTAACAAGCATACATTATCTTTAAAACAATCCATTTAATGACCTCTATAGCTGTAGGAACTGTGAAGTAGATCATTCTCAAATTTCACAGCATCTTTCACAGCCACTTCTCTCAATTTGAGTAGGGCGAGCTAAGCTACTGAAAGAAAAATGTAGCGCCTCTGCTATGAACTTTGAGGGCCCATTCACACCATATGCATTGGGCTGTGCTGGGCAGCCTTGCCCAACACAGTCCCAACGCATAGACAAGGCAATTTGCCGTAAGTCCTATGAGTTCAGTTGACCCTACTAAACTGCAGTGGTGTGTGTTTAAAAAAGTGGGACATGTTTTACTTTTTGTTCAGTGCAGTACACCACGTCACAACCCACAATCCAAAGGTTAATGAAATGTGATTTTGTGACATTTCAAATTGAAAGAAAAGTAAATAGCGTTATTTGTCATTACAACACATCCGCACCGCTCACTTCACAGCACACAGCAGCAGCCATGGTAAAACAAGCCCTTAGGCTACATTGCTCCACAGTACCTGCAGCTACAGAGGTCAGGTAGGGCTTTTAAAGCATATTTACTGATGGTTAAGAATATCTTAATACTTGGATGTTGATAGCCTAACTACAGTTCACTTTAAGCCCATACTTGGCAATCAGTTAACACACAAAGCAAGTGTAGAAATGGAGATGTAATTGCATATCCTTTTAATGTAGTTCAAGCGCCGCTTCTGAAGTAGCTGGTTCACTTTTCTGGCCTTTGAGTGAATATGTCTGTAGAAGGAAGGGAAATAAATAAATACAAAGTCTTTGTATTTCTTAGTTTAAACGCATCATTACTGAATGGCTCTGTATTCACAAAATGTTAAAATAAAAAGTCAAGGCGTCCACTAAAATAAATTGTAAACATAAATAAATAACATTCAATAGATAGATTAGATGGAACAAATTTAGTTGCAGGTTTTCTGAATACCCAAACATTTAAAAATGATTCATTTATTTTGTCAAACAAAGGATTTGTATTATTTCAATGCATTGGAAAAGCAAATCTCGGTATCACACTCCTGGTAAAACTATTTGATTAAAAATACTTACATTAACAGCCTCACAGAACAAGTTATAGATTTAATATTCTCTGTGGATCCCAGCCATGATCAGTGTGTCTGGGTAAGTACTGAGAGAAATGAAATTAATATGATCTGTTTACCTGCTGTGTTACTAAATGTATTCATTAAGGGACCGAGACCAGAGAGGTGCAGTACCTAATTTGTGTGATTTAGATGAGAAATCTATCTTCTGGGGCGTGAATGATAAAACAGATATAACTTTGCAGGAAGAAGGATGTGGGAAGATATATCGGATGGATAACCTGCTATCTAGTGATATGCTAGCAATATTAAAATATATTTCTTATGATAAGGTAATATAATGACAGAAGGCTTAGTTTAGCTATATATACAGGATGTCAGTATGTATATTATTTAGGCCCTTACTTTCTCTTATATAAACATTCTATATAAAGGGTCAGTTTTGATGATTACATTGTTTTAATATAAAACATTTATTTTACAGATATGCATTTCATTCAATGTGTATTTATGGCATTTGTGTCAGAGAGATAGAACAGAACTGTTTTTTCAGATTCTCTTTGTTTCTAATGAAATCTCCATACAGCAGGGGCATTGCTAGGGTTGTAAAAGACCAGGGCTCAATAGGAAACTATACAAAACACAAAAATTCCCCAGCCCCAACCTGCCAGCCAGCCTGCAACCAAACAAGTAGCCCTGTCAACAGTATGCGTTAAAATCAGAGGTTTTAGTTGCACAAACTTTTGGCCAAAAATATGTAGAAGCCACACTGCCGCGCCAAGGCACCTCTGCAAAGTGTGGTCCTAACTCTATGTATCTGAGTCTCCAAGTGTGAGCTTATTAATGAAGTCAATAGATTGCATGCAGGTGTACCTGGAGGTAGCCTACTCCTCCTAATAAGGTGCTGGGACGCACTGGGGGCCCAGCAACCAAAAATGCACGCTGGGACCCCAGTGCATCCCCCTAACCAAAATTTTTTTCTAGTTTCAATAGGAAACTCCTTTAACATAGGGTGTTGCCAGACTGAACTTGCCAGTGGTGTAAAAGAAATAAGTAAGTTCGTGTATCCACAGAATATGCCTTATTACTGTGACACAAGTGAAGGTCTCAATGACCAGCATAAACTGCAGCACAAAGGATCATTCCATTCTTCCATCACATACGGAGAGCTAACACTTTGATCTTACTCCATAGAAGAACTTCATTAAATTAATTAATAGCTACTTTGCAACCAGCAATTCTTGAGACAATGAACATGTAACGAGGTATGTAATGCACATCATAGTGTATACAGTGCAGCAGTCTATGATGCACAATATAGTGTATATAGTGCAGCAGTTAGGAATATGTAATGTACAGCATAGCATATAAAGTGCATCATTCAGATCAAAAGTAATGCACAACATAACATATAAAGTGCAATAGTCATAACTGTATCAAATACATCATAGTATATAGAGTGCAGTGGTCAGGACTATCTAGCATATAGAGTATAACATTCAAAACTATGTAACATACAACACAACATGAGTGATTGGGACAATTTAATGTACACCACAGCGTATAGAGTGGAGTTGTCAGGACTATGTGACATACAACATAGCATATACAGGGCAGGGGTCAAACCTATGTAATGTACAAAATGGAGTATAAAGTACAAAGCCACAATTATGTAGTATGAAGAGTGCAGTGATCAGAACTATGTAACATGCAACAAAGGGTATAGAGTGCAACAGTCAGGACTATGTAGAGTATGAAGTGCAGCAGTCAGAACTATGTATTGTACAACATAGCACATACTGTGCAGCAGTCAGACAGCAAATACCAGGACTATGTAATTGCACAGCATAAAGTG